CAACTTAGTGTCATCTGCAAATTTGCTAACGGTACACTTGATCTCCTCATCCAGATCATCAATAAAGATATTAAACAGAACTGGGCCCAACACTGATCCCTGGGGGACACCACTAGTGACCGGCTGCCAACTGGATGCAGCACCATTCACCACCACTCTCTGGGCCCGACCATCCAGCCAATTCTTGATCCAGCAGAGACTACCCCTGTCCAAGCTGCAGGCTGCCAGCTTTTTCAGGAGTATACTGTGGGAGATGGTGTCAAAGGCTTTGCTGAAGACCATGTCCACAGCCTTCCTCTGATCCACCGGGCGGGTCACCTGATCATAAAAGGAGATCAGGTTGGTCAGACAGGACCTGCCCTTCCTAAACCCGTGCTGGCTGGGTCTGATCCCTTGTCCATCCTGTAGGTGTTGTGTGATTGCACTTAGGATGATCTGCTCCATAACCTTGCCAGGCAGAAGGATAACATAAATCTCTTAAAAAACCTTGAATTTAAAATGGCTGTTCCCATTATAGGGGCAGAGGCAGGCTTGATTATTTATGAAAATATGCCTTGGATTTGTGTCAATGCTATATATGCTATATGTACTACCTTTAGTAGTCTGACCATGAACAACTCAGGTATTTAAGTTGGTGAACAGTGTAGAAGACATGTTTTCAGGATAAATTTTTTGTCCCTTTAACAAACCTTTTGAAGGTTTTTGCTTCTTTGTAGCTTCAGACTGCTACAGCTAAGAACTCTGCTCCTTGCATTTTGAGAGTCTTTCCTAAGGTGTTGCTACTTTGGTGTAGCTGGAGCAGCCTTTTTCAGGCAGTGTTCTATCCATTTTGAGTTTTGAGGCTTTCAGCATCTGAACATGTAATGTTTCCAAATGATATGAGAGAAACACTCTTATAAAACAGCAAATGAGTCAGCAGAGGACAGCCTTAAGAACACTCCTGATACAGGAAATCCTCCCAACAGAGTGCCCTGATAATAGATTCATGTTGCTGAATGCTTTGAAGCTTTTGGTCTGCCCACCAGTTTGTTCAGGGTCCTTTACGTAGTCAAGGGATTTCCTTCACTAAAATCTTCACTATCCTTGAGTGTGCAGGTTGATTAAAATCCTGCCTAGAACACAATACGTAAGCATACTTAGATATCTGTGTAAGTGAAGGCATGCATCTGGGCTTGCCAGAACCCATGTTTCCAAAGTGATGTGGGAACTTGTCAGTGTTATTCAATTAATCTCACAAATTATTTTAATTCCTGTGAATTTCTGACACCTTTAGGATGAAATAGAGTCCCTGCAAAAAGAAGTAGAAGATCTGAGAGGTAAAAATCTCAGTTTACAGACACAGCTGAAATCTCTTCTGGATCCTGCAGCATCAGCTTTGTCTTGCCAAAATGAGGAAACTAGCCAGTCAGCAAATGAAGCAAGTACCAGTGGCCCAGAAACACCAGAGGAATGGAGCAAAAAGCTGAAAGCTGCCAATGATATGTATGAAAAACTGATGGATAATGTGGAAAAGCTAAAGGAGGTAATAAATGCAATAAACACATTTCTTCAGCTATCTTGTAGTGTAACTGTTTCGTGTTAGTTAACCGGGAGTCAGAGCTAGCATGACCTCTGGGTACTTCATAGATCCCGAAGAAAGAAAAAAAATTGAATTCCAGTGACTGTTGTTGTATCACAGTATTTCCATATAGCCCTTGCAAGTGTCAAATGTTATTGCTTGTTCTAGTGAGTCCTGTACGTGACTGCTTTTCAACTCCTCCGTCACTCTATGCCTGGGTAATTGGATTATAGTAGCACTTGTCAACAGTATTGATGACCAGATTTTTCAGGCTTGCAATAATCTATATAATATATCTATTTTACAACATTCAGTGGGCAAACACAGTACAGTTGGCTGAGGCAGATTTTGCACTATTGCCCTCCCTGCTAGCCGATATTTTTGGTGCAATTTGCTGAGACAGGGTAACTTGACCCTTTGACCAAAAATAGACAAGCTTCAGCATTTTATGACCAGAAGATCCTTTACTGGAAACCTGCAGCCTTTTTATACATCTTGTTGTAATATAAAAAAAAAATCTGATACTGCAGAAGCGGGGATGCAGGAGGTAGACGTGTGACAATACATGTAAATAAAAATATCTTGCAAAATATACCTGTGGGCACAAGAAGGATCACCTCAAACACTGAATAAGAGTGAAATTGCAAAATTAATTTGAAAACAAGGTAGAAAGAACTGGACTTGCATTTATTCAAAATGCTACCTTTTTTTTTTCTATTAACAATCCTGAGTTGCCACCTGCAAAAATGAAGTGTGATGTGTTTAGGACTTTTTTCTTAACTTTTTAAACATTAATAGTGTTCCCACTTATTCTGTGCTACCGACTCGGAGGCACACATTATACTGTTCTGCCATTCTGTAGTTAAAAGGACACTTCTAGGACCCCAGGGGCTTCAGAGTCACTTGTAGATGGCAAAAGGGGATTCACAGCAAAAGGTTTTGTCTGCCTATTTTTTTGTATATTTTTTATGAAGTTAAACTGTACTGACTTTTTTTTTTTTGATGACTGAGTTTTTTAACTTTTTCCCTAGGTAAGTAAAAAAAAGAATATAGCAGGAACTGAGGGAAGGTTTTGTTTGGGTATTTTTTTCAATGTAACTTCAGCCTTAACAAGAAAAGGGATTTAAGTTTATGGAATCTCTAAATTGGTTAAGGGTTAGAAACAAATAGAGGTTTAGATGTGTTTTAGGGAACAATATTAAACTGTTGTCCTAGAATCATTTAGGTTGGAAAAGACATTTAAGATCATCAAGTCCAACACTCTTCCCATCTGTTCCCTCTTCAATAGCTGCTCAATTCCATAAGCTCTCCTTTTAGACCTTGTCTCAGTTGTAAGCATGCACTGAACAGTTCAGTCTGAACAGCAAGACGCACACACAGTCTGGAACCAGAAACCTTCTTATCCATGAAAGTGCCTGACCCAGGGGTTTCAGCCGTACATCTCTTGCTAGCGAGACATGGTCCCTCAGCAAATGCGCTCACCATCGCTTTCTTTTTCAAAACCAGACTGAGTCAGGAAATAGCAACCACCTTTATCATTTAAATGTCCTAGAGCAGACAAATGTAGAAATGCCCAAAGTAGGCATTATTGCTTTGAGTGGAGTCATAACAAGTATGGGAGTGGTGAAACAAACCCAACAGTAGAAATACTGGATAAAGAACACTCATTAAAAATGCAGTTATGTGAGCTAATTAATCTAGACATCATGCTGCAAGTGGAGGTCCCTTGCAGATTACTGGCTTGGAGGGTCAAGCACTCTTTAGAGGAAGGACACCAAAGAGGTTCAGTCATGAAATTTTTTACTTGATTATGTGGTTGGGGGAACTGTCTCTGGAAATGGAGAAAGGTCTTGGCCATGTTGTCAAATGGAGCTTCTTTGGAACTGAGGTTTCCTGAATTCTTACTCATCGCTTTCAGAATAATTTTTTGTGCTTTTATTTTTTGAATACCAAGTAGTTGACACTCAGACACCTAAGCTCTGGGCTCACCCTTCCCTTGTCTTCTTTATCACGGTCTCTAGTTATTCTTTTTGCCCTTAGGAATATTTGGTGTTGGGGAAGCAGGGCGTTAGTTTATTTTTTTCCACTCCGTTCTCCCTACCCCTTACCTGGAAAGATTGCTAGGGATATTTCTCTAAGCATTTAAAGTTTTCCGCCTCTCTTCTTGCACTGTTCAATGCTTCTAAAAAAGTACATTTCACTCCTGAGCCCAGCTGCATAGCTCCTTCTTCAGATCTAACTCTAGATCATACTTTTATTATGCAGTGGAAGTGTTATCTAATTGAGGTTATGAATTACAAGTCCTGGACTGGTGGTGCTTTTTTTTTAGCATACAGAGATTAGCAGACTATGAAGTGCAAAGAGTATATTCTGATTGTTAGGATAGTGGCATTCATTATTCTGAAACAGGGTGGCAGGAAAACTTCTCTTTATATGAAGCATCCTGTTAAGAAGGGTGTCTGCTGAACTGAGAAGAAGGAATTGACCTCAATTCAAGGAGTAAGAAGGGTTGTGAATCAGGAATCTTAATCGCAACATCCTGGAAGAAAGTGAAGAAAGACTGCAAATAGCTTGTCGTAATGCATTTACATCCACAGGATAACTATGCTTTAAAAACAAGCCAAAAAACCCACAAAGTAATGTTGCTCTAATTTGGAATGGGGGAAGCTGTTCAACATTAGTTTTGCTGATACCTGCACATTGTAATGTTAATGTACTTAACGTATTTAGTCATGTGGAAAAAAAAACATGGAATTGCCATTAGTACATCTCCTTAATGACTTTCTGTGCTAACTAACATTGCTGTGTTTATTTCCCTAGATAGGACACTTGCAATGTATTTTGGGAATATAAATAAAAAATGTCTGTTCGCTATTCAGTTTTGCAAACCATTTCCCATGGTGATTTTTAAGTGGTGTCCCTGTCTGAAGACTCTTTCCTGCCTTCACATTTCTAGTTCTGTCCCTTTAAAGAGGAGAAACAGCTTGTCCTATAAATATTGGAAGTCATTTCTGTTTTACTGTATACTTATTTTTTTCTGTTTCTTTTCCTTAGGCAAATAAGAAACTGAGCATGGAAAACAATAACCTTTTAAGAGAGAATTTGCGACTAAAAGCTGAAGTTGATAGTAGATCACCCCAAAAGTATGTGAATATTTTAAAAGCTACCATATTTTATTTATAGACTGTTTAACTGTTGTAGGACTGTAACCTAAAACTGTGGTGGTGTACACAGTGTTGCATATGTGTCTCCAGGTAGACTTTGGAATTTTTATCCTCATGGACTTGGGTGAAAAATGTAACTTAGAGAATAGCAGCAAGTGGGTGAGAAATGCATCTTAGAGAATAGCAGCAAGTGAAGGAATATGACTTGACTACAACTGGTATTCCTTGTGTTACCTGACCAGTACTGAAGAACTGGATTCATTAGTTGAATTCTACAGTTAACTTGTTATTTGGAAATGTCTGAATCTGGTATATGGTCAAAGTAGAAGGTCTCTTACTAAGTGCAGATATTCTGGTTGCTTGTGTTTAGGTTTGTTTTGTTCTTCCTTTTGCTGCCTTCGTGGTTTGTTTTGTGGGGTTAGGCTCCCTACTCAAGGAACGTTCCTGATAGCTTTGTGTCCAGCAGTATACGTGCAATCAAGCTTCTGCAGCATGAGAACATCATTCCCAGAACTGACACCTGTGTTTAATACTGTCAATAAACAGTTAAAACACCAATGACAATGCCCTCAAAAAGCAGAAACTTTGCCATATTGCTTAGAGCTGTGTTGTAAGGTAACCCTCCTTGGGAGTACTTTGTGAAGCAATATATTGATATTTTTAAAGTTGTGTTCCTTTCTTTCATTAGCTTTCTACCATTTTTCTGTCATTGGTTTAGAAAGTAAAAAGTTAATAGCAATATTGGCCAAAGGTTTATACAGAGCTTTTGAAGAAGGGGATTAGGAGGCACCTGCGTAATATAAGAAGAGAGCTCTCTGGATTTTGTTCTAGTTCACAACTCACCTGCTGGAAGATAAAATTCATCCTTATAGAAAAACTTACTTACCAGACTGCTTTTTATTTGAGACAACAGAAAAGAGGATGCATGATCCTTGGACTGTGAATACATAAAAGTACATTCTACCCTGAAGTTCCCAAATAAGATAGAGCCCTGTTTAAGGTCTTGGCAATGGATTTTATTGACATGGAATATCTTTTCGCATAAGATTCAAGAGTGAGTTGGCAAGCATGGCAAACTTGAAAACTAAATAAATCCTAGAAAAGAAGAGCTAGAAAAGACCAGATAATATAAGTTGATTTTTGCTTTACTGATACTAGGTAAACTCCTCAGTGGAGAGAATTTCCCTTTCTTCTAGCTTGTGCATGTTTTACCATGGTCAGAAAAAAATAGATGTCTGAGGGGCAGGGGTGGGAAGAATTAGTTTTTGCTGCAAGCCAGTTATTTTTACATCTTTTGCCAGTGTTGCCTAAAACTACAGCCTGTCATTTTCTTCTTTAGAAGCACAGATGTAGCCAAATGTTATTATAAATTAGACAGTTTCAAGATCTGTCTTGCAACCTATATGCCAGCTAGATTTACCTGTCTACGTCTCTGCTATTAATTTTTTTATTATTTTTTTAGTCTCCAGAACAGGTATCACATCCTGCCTGCCTATTGGGAATTATGTTTGACCCATACTAGCCTAGAACTGTGCATAGGATTTAGGATATGAATTGAATCAGGCTTAACCTGGGCTAGGAAGAGTTCAAACACTTCAGGAGTTTGTATTTCTGTTCCCTGATTCTGCTATATTCAATTTTGGCTTTACTCTGGGCCCAGTGGTGTGCTACAAGAATTTAAGTATATGCAACAAAAAGCTTGTCCTGGAAGAAACCCTTCAGCACGTTAAATTTAGCAGTTTTACTTCACCCTACCTGTACCCATTCATTCCTAGTCATGTCTTATAGACTGAATTCATCCAGTTCTTTTAGAGAAGTGTAACTTGAGAGAAAAAGTAAAGTTCTGTTTATTTGGTTTTGCTCTGCACTCAGGAGTCTCCAGTGTCTATGGTTTTCTGAAGCAATAAGACTTAGAACTGGGTACTAGATTACAAGTGAAGTCTCAGTAGCACTAACTAGAGCAGAAAAACTGTCTTGTGTCTTCTACAGCATCTTATATCTTACAATACCTTTTTTTGTTCTTTCCTTTAACCTGACACTTCTAGCACAAATGCCCAGTACCAGTTCTGTCAAATAGCTACTTAGAAAGCCACCTTCCTACCTCATTTTGCATTTGTGCTGCTATGTCTCCTTTCAAAGTGTGGGAATTAAACCATTTATTGGCTTTCTTCAGGTTGGTGTTTTGATGCGTGTCAAACTTCACTTATTCAAATTCCAGACACATCTTTCAGGTGGTGGGAAGTCTCTCCCATCTTAGTGTTGTTAGCAGAATTTTTAAATTAACTTTCATCTTTGTGGTCATCAGTCTGGTCAATATCCAGACCAGACCTAACATCAAGACATTTTTTAAATGTTCTTTCAGCTCTGATAGCAAACTTTGGTAATATCTAACAGGTCTTTCAGCTGGGCTTCACACACTGAACAGGGCTTGCAATAAATGTCTTGCTTATGAAATCAGAATTGAAAGCAATAAGCATCAGAGCCCAACAATGTCACTAGAATCAGAAGTTTCTGTGCAGGTACATTGATTTGCCAGTACAGTTGTTCCAGTGTGCTTTATTCAGAAGTTTTCAGAAGGTAATTTTTGGAAAAGTTTCTGGATGAGTCTCTAATGCAATTTAAAACAGCTACTGAATTGGATCTTTGTCATTTACTGTCACAACCATTGTTTCTTTTGTCATGTATTCCTCAGCTTCAGAGTCTCAGGTATGGATTCATGCTTAAACAACTGACTAAATTAACTAAATAAAATTTGTAACAAATTTTTTTTAAAGGTTTTGTCAGTATTCAGTCCCTGTATCCCAAGTGTATTTCATTTTGTGCATAATGACAGTGGAGCTGAATAGTAAAACCTAAATTGTTTTAGTGGACTTTGCTTTACAGCAGAGGAAACACTAATGGCAGGTGAATGATCCCTTTGTAACACAGACTCTACCTCTTACATCACAGGAAAAGTATAATTACCCTTCTTCAGTGGTCAATAAAAAACTTTCCTTTTATCATAGTCTTGAGTTGTTTTTTCTTTGTTCGTATCCATTAAAACCTGCTGAAAAATGTCATGTATGTCAATAAAATTGATATTTCAACCATCTCAGGGATTTTTACACAATTTTTAAACTGATGATGCTGATTGATTAGCTTTTTATTTTTTTTCCTTGAAACATTTTTAAGAGTAGACCTTCACCAGAATACAATAACATCATGTAGTTGGGACACAGGTCTGAAAGGCAAATAGAGGTAAGTTTCTTGCTCTAATTCTTGCTAAAGACCTTCACTTGTCTCCTATTTCTCAGGCAAATCAGACTGATTGGTGGCTGTTGTTTGCTCTTTGTTTACCCTTTCTCCTGATGAATTCTCAGTAACTTTCATTTTCCCAATGGGGAACAAGAAAACTTCTAAAACTTAAGTTTTGCAGGATGATAAAGCCCTATTAATTCCAGCTCTACTTAAAATAGAAAACTGTTACGTCTATTGGCAAGGCACAGTGGATCTAAAAGCATTTTTGGCAAAAGGATGTTTGCTTTTTACCTGAAGGAAAATAACTAGCAAGTCCATCTACTCCAGGGTATAGTGTATTTTATGAATGGTTAGATTCAAATTAGCTTGAACCAGCCTTCTAGGCTTCCTAGGAGCCTTTTCCCTAAATATTTAATTCCTTCTGCCAGTTAAAATCCCAGTCTGAAAAACTATCTGTAAAATGCACAAAATTGTTGCATTATCTCTTTTCTCTGATTTTGTTTTATTGTTGTAGTTTGAGGAGGGAGGAGAGCTTCTCCATCTCCAGTTTTACTGTTTATCTTGTCTAGATTTTAATATCAAGTACTTTCAGAAATCTAAGGCTGTTGACTTTTTGGGTCATTTGTTACTACATTGAATTTTTATCTAAGTCAAATACTTCTGCTCATGCCAGACTTTTTAGTTTAGTCTTCATTTTACTGAGCCTACAAATAGGCTTCTAGTAACCTGTGTCCATGGTGCGGAGGGTAAGAACTTTACTGTCTTCCTTGATAGAAAACTGGGCTCTGTTCTTACCTCTCCACAAGTTTGCTATTCCAGAGGAGTGGCCATTTTCAAAGACCAGCTGCAGTGTGGCCTTAAAAGTAAGTAGGAGAACGGAGAATATAGTAGCCTTCAAAACAACTCTGAGTTCTTAAGTCATAGCATTAAATCCTGAGGAAGTGCCCACTTCAGGTGTGAAGGTCTGAAAACTTAAGCAGATGGGTAAGGACATTCAGATCACACTCCAGTTTTGTGGGTTTTCTGGTAGGATTTTTTTTTTTTAGTAATTCTGAAGTAATTATTTCTGGTTTATGCTGTTTGCTGACCCTGGGTATAATCTGCCTTTCTTATATGGAAAATCAGTGCTGCTTCACTGAAAGATGTTAAAATGCTTGGAGAGATTTTGCATATTTGTCTAAATTCACCCAATTCCCTAAGTGAAAGGAGAAGCTCATTTCAAAGAACATACCTGACTTGTCTGTTCTGTTCAAATCCTGCTGCTCTACAGTCATCCAACAAACAGTATATGTCTTGACTTTTTTTTTTCTTTGCTTGCTAGGAAAAGGCCCCTGTCTTACAGTAACTGTTTTTTTCTTCTTAAACATACCTGTGCAAATATGACATACTTTTAAGGCAATTGTATAAAACCTGGGATATTCTCTGATCTGCAGACACTTGAGATCACTTGTCATAGGTGATGTAGAGGGGGATTGCAGAACTTGTTCTCGTGCAGCTACATCTGGTACACAATATCACAGAAGGACTGTAGAAGCTACTAAGGCTTTCAGCTGCTTTGTTCTTAGATTTCCTGCCTCTATCTTCCCACCTAACTGCAGAACCCAAGGGAAAATGTGAAAATGTGTATCTACATGACAGAACTGGGTTTGGTTGTACACTCTGGCATTGCCCTTATCTCAAACTGTGACAGGCCCTGACTGTACCTTGTCATTTTCCACTTTTCACCACTCTTTGTTTCCGTTGGAGTATGGATCATGCTCTTGCATCCTGAGCATGAGGGTGGCCCCCAGCCTGGGCCATCAGGTGATTAGAACTGGAGAGTCAATTTCCATAGCATCCTTGCAGCCCCAGTCTTCAGTAAGTGGTTATACAAGAAAAGTTTGTTGCAGCTACTTACTACCCACAAAGGGAAATGTTTGTGTGAGACTCTGTGGTTTTAAACTGAGTTGGTATCACTTAAGGGCTCAACCAGATAGATGTGTTAGTGGTCGCTGATGTGTGAAAATAAAACCCTAAAGCTGAATTTGCAGAACTGATAGATAAGAAGAGAAGAAACAAGTGAAGAAATTTGTTTTTCAACTTTCCAACAGTTTCTAAGTGGACTTCTTCAGAAGTTGTGGTTTAACCCCAGGTAGCAACTAAGCCCCACACAGCTACTCACTCACTCCCCTCCCAGGGTAGAGGAGTGGAGAAGTAAAAGTGAAAAAACGCATGGGTTGAGATAAAGACAGTTGAATAGGGAAAGCAAAAGCCATGCACAAGCAAAGCAAAACAAGGAATTCATTCATCACTTCTCACAGGCAGACAGGTGTTCAGCCATCTCCAAGAAAGCAGGACTCCAATCACGTGTAACTGTGACTTCAGAAAACAAACACCATCACACCTTTCCTTCTTCTTCCCCCAGCTTTATATTCAGAGCAAAATGCCTTATGGCGTGGCATATCCCTGTGGTTAGTTGAGGTCAGCTGACCCAGCTGTGTCTCCTCCCAAATTCTTGTGCACCCCCAGCCTCCTCACTGATGGGTTGAGAGACAGAAAAAGCTTTGACTCTGTTGTAAGAACTACACAGGAGTAACTTAAACAGCTCTGTGTTGTCAGCAGTGTTTCCATCACAAATCCAAAACATAGGCCCATACTAGCTACTGTGAAGTGAATTAACTGTATCCCAAACAAAAGCAGGATAGGAGTACTCAAACATAACTGAGGGAGCAGTTGTGTGATAATGTGCAGGAAAGTTACGCCAACAGTGTTAGTTCTTCTTGCTCCCTGTATGTTAATTCTTCTTGCTCAGAGAGCTGACTGTAGCTTTCTGTCAAGTTAGAATCATGCTGAGTCAAGAAAAAGGACTCTGACTGAGGAGAGATCCTGAAACCTTGGATTCAAGTGTTCCATCTAGACATCCAGTATCACCTCAGACACTATAACATATCCAGTACACCTTCCTGGGGCTAGTGGCTGTGATACAGGGTCTATAGATAGAATATGTGTATCCTTCCAAAGTGATAGCTGGAGGTCAGCAGTCATGTAAAAGATTTTAGGTGATCTAAAATGTCATTAAGTTTCTGTTTTGAAGAATCCAAATCCCACCTGAAATGTCTTTCTGTTCACTTTATGAGTGACCACTTGTTTCTGCAGGCTTTCAGTTTTCTATAGAAAGGATGCATTTAAAACACATGCATTGAGATCCAAAGTCATTGTTTCAGTGATGTGACTGAAGAACAAGACACTAATGCTCAAAAGTCTTTGTCCATGTGTGAGGGTGTGGCTTTCCTTCAGTATATGTATGCTCTTTATCACATGTATACTGAATACCTTAACTTCTAGTGAAGAAGTTAACACTTGTTACTAAGTGTGAAATAGTTCAAATACTTCAGGAAATTTATCTAGATTGTCAGGTGAAACTTAGATTTATTTTCATGTAACTGCACTGCATTCTATTGTTATTATCAGACCATAATTTTTTCATTTATAGCACAGCTCACTGTACATCTGAAGGGAAAAGAAGAGAAAATCTTTTATGAGTGGTTTGGTTTGGGGAGATGAGCAGGAATCTGGCTTCTCTAACCAAAATGTGAATGTCTTAAGCCCTCTGCTGACCTGCTAGGTCAGTTACTAAAACATCTATATCATGCTCTGGTCTGGAGTAATTGGCTTAAATATGTGCATAGTAATATGGCTGTCTTAAAAATCCATGTCCTTGAAAATTTGGGAAATAAATGCAGGCAAGTCTCAAAGCTGGAACAGAAAGCAATTACTGTTCTTTGCCTAACTGCAGAAGTAACTTTGTAGGCAGCTTGTCATATGTTCCATTTCTGAAAACCAAAATTCCCAAGCACATCCCTCTGCAACAATTAACATATTAGTGATGCTATTTGCCTTTGAACAACATACTGTATTTTTTTAACCTGAGGACACTTGTTATAAAAGTTACACTTGAGAATACGGTGCTTCTTCCTCATAAGCAAATCCCAGACTGTCACTAATGCTATTTGCATTAAATAAACATATTACACCATTCTTCCATTAAAAAGGAATTACCAGGTATGCATATAAATGTAAACATGTTTTAATTTTTATGTCAGAGTGTCTGTTACAGCAGACTCGAGAAAATCTTGCTTATTTTGCAGAAGCATTTTTCCCTTTCTCTCACTTGGCTATTCAGCTAAATTGTATTTTTGCATCATCTTTCTATCTTTTATTAAGCAGTGTAGCGTTTGCACCTGTAAGACTATGTGAACAGGTCCTTTAGAGAAGGGCAAAATAAATACTTTTGGATCATCTTAGGAAGTGTGAAAGGTCTTGCTTGGGCCCTGCTGTGCTACACTGACTCCTTCCGTATCGTAAAGCAAAATCTGTGTTCCTTTAACTAAAGGAGGAAATAAGCCAAAATGTGTTGTATAGGAGGATGCTTATTTCATGTAACCCCCTTCACCTGACAATATAATGGAAACATTCTTGAGCTGTGATTCTGCTTTTATCTAGTTTCATATGGGAGACAGAAAGTTGTCTGTGCCTTTTCTCCCATTCCCCTCTTGTGTGCAGCTAGAAGTGGAGAAACTGCTATAATCGATTGAGAAAACTTGTTATCCAGAGCATAAGCAAATGAAAAATGTTCTGTCTTCTTTTTTATGAAGACAAAGAAAATTGAGTAGAGCTACTGTGGAGGGGGGGTATCTTTGCCTTGACTGAGTTCCAATCCAGCCAGCTTCTTGTAGGGGGAAAAAAAGTCTTACTAAATATAAATCTTCTATCTTGGCATTTTTTGTCAACAAGGCAGTGAGTGGCACATACCAAAACTGTGTGAACCTTAGGCTGATCTGATTTAAAAAGTCATCTAGTAGCAGTGCTGTGACAGACTATTGTGTGAGTCTTACCCACCACTGAACCATCTACACTAAAGTCTTCAGAGTTCTTCAAATATGCAGAAGCAGTTGAATGGTGAAATATATCAGTAGATCCTGGTCACTTGTGCCCAGTTTGTCTGGGGCTTGTGATACCCGTTATTCCTTTCTCTAACTACCCACTTAACTGTATTGCAGTTGTCAGCATACAACAGTTTCTTGCTGCTTTGGGCTCATGAATTAGAAGAAATAGAATACAGTTTGATTGTTTGCTGGAAATGCATGCCTGGATCCATGGATATTTTGCCAGCGTAGTTGCAGGCCACAGATATACCACCTTCAGATTTCACTTGTCTAAAGGTTGCAGTGGGAGCATTTTGTGAAGAGATGAGGGGATGGAATGGGGAAAATGGAATGTAAATTCACTGTGACTCTGAGGGAGGGACAGGCAGACAGGCAAAGAAAAAAGGTAGAAATTCCAGGCAGTGTTTGTGCTGGAAGAGTGAATATAAACTTATGCTGTAACACAGAGCTGCAAGATAGGAGGTGGAGATTTAAGCCCACATACAGAATTGTCATTTCTTTGTGATATAAAACCTTATTTGTCATAGTTGTAGGGTGGCTGTAGGTCCTTCCCTCCTTTCTAATAATACCAGAACTTTAATTGTTTTTTCTTTCTATAAATTGAAATCCTTGGATGGAGCAGGGAATTCCCTGGTGCTCACCTGTCAATGACAGGTTAGAATTAGTCAGGGCATATAGCTGAAACCTTCACCTGCCCTCTGGGGAAGGTCAGTCTTGAAAGCTGATGGAGGACGGGGGGAAGGCAAGTCCATATCTTGGCAGTTGAAAATGTGCTCAAGCTGGAAGCCCCACAAGCACATAACTTTCACAAACCACAAGTGTCAGGTTTTTGTATTGGAGTCAAGGTAGAAATTAGATTGTTCTGGTTGTAAAGCTCAAAAAACAAGTAACTGAAGTAAGTGGATATACCTTCTGCAGAACAGGTAAGGAAAAGCTGTATATCTAACAGGAACGTAATTGAAATGGTCTATATAAGTATTTAAACCACCTCAAAGGACTACTGCATTTTCTACGTTTCATATTGGCATTTTGTATTTGACAAGGTGACATTGTGAAAGAAATGTGTTGTAAAACACTGCTGTACTGTAGGAAAATGATTGAATGTAAATATTTCAAGATGTGGACCACTGTTCAAATGTTATCATAAATCTTTGCCATTGTTTTAGGGGATAATTCTTCATGCATATTTGAGTTGAATTGATAGAACCAGCCCCTGGAAGTCTAATCTGCTTGTTATTGCCTTGCCACCACTAATTTTTTAATTTTGTCTTTTTACATATCACCTCCACCTGTATGTTATTTGTGATGATTTTAGCATTTTTTCATAACTAGCAGAGAAAAGTTATGACTTTTCAAATTAACACGGTGTTTAATAGTTTTGCTCTGTCTTGAAATAAACTTGCAAAGCATCATGAGAATGTCTTTTTCCAGTTTAATATTTTCTTTCTTTTTTACTTATTGCAGGTTTGGTAGGTTTACAGTAGCTGCACTTCAGTCCAAAGTGGAACAAAGTGAACGTGAAATGAACCGTCTGAAAAAGGCACTGGAAAGAAGTGATAAATACATAGAAGAGATGAAATGTCAGCTTTTACAGCTGAAAAATGCAGGCAAAGGAAGCCAAACAGTGAGTGCTGTTAGTGAGAGAGCACTTTCCACAGATGCTGAAGGAGGTGAGAGCAGTGAAGATGCAACTTCTTTGAAAACCCAAGTTGAAGAGAAAAAAGCTTTGAATACCAGTCAAAGTCCTGACAGTCTTGAACAGCTGGCAAGTCGTGGAACTTGTTTAATCTCTTCTAGTCAAGATAGTTTGAATTGCTCAAATACCCAGTGTGCCACACAGAAAGAACTATTTCCAGGATGTCACAGGGTTGTCCTGGATGAAAACAGTACAAATATGGATGCCTGCTTAGAAGAGCAGTGGAGTAAAATTGAGGAATGTACCCCATATAAGGATGAAGAACTTTATGATCTTCCACCACCGTGCACACCTTTTTTGTCTCTCAGTCGCCTTCAGTTGAACACTCCTGATGGAAAAGAAAATACAAGGAAACCATCGACATTCCTGAGAAAACTGAAATTCGAAGAGTTTCGTGGAACTTCAGATGGTGGCAGCAAAGCTTCTCCTGAACACAGCACAAGCAACTGTAATAGTCAAAAGAAGCTAAACTGTTTTACTACAGGAAAATCAGGGTTTTGGGGCACCTGCCCAACAAATTTTGCTGAGAACTTAGATTTTGATGAATCGGAGCAAAATTCAGTAGCTGATCAGTCAGATGAGACAACAGCGAAGTCCAGTGATAAAACAAGTACTTGCTTACCTAAAAGGCTACATACTCTCTGCTCTTCAGAAATGAATCGCACAAGAACCTCCAGTGAGGCATCTATGGATGCTGCCTACCTTGATAAAATTTCTGAGTTGGACTCAATGATGTCTGAGTCGGACAACAGCAAGAGCCCATGCTATAATTTCAAGTCCTCTGACCTTGATAATTCTTCAAAGTCAACAGAGTGCCCTAAGCTTCTGAATGGAACTGAGAAGAAACTGGAAGAAATGAATGAGGAACAGACAATGAAGTGTCCAGAGACAAGCAATCTAGCAACTGATAGAACTGGCTGGAAACCTGTTATGTTTTCCAACCTCTCCCCATCTGACCTAGATATGAATGACCACTTTCCACTGTTTACAGGCCAAAATGCAGTGGCTAGTGGTAGCAAACCTCAAAACTCTTTATTTCAAAGGGACTTTTCCCCAAGTGTACTGTTCAGTAACTCACAAAGGTTGTTTGAGGAACAAAAGCTTGGTTGCTGTTTTTTAAAGATGTCATCTGATCTGCACAGTCAGCTTAGTCCTCCTTGGATGTCTTCCTTTACAGCTGAAAGAAAAAATAAAAATGTCAGTCAGTCAACCAAGAGGAAAATTCAAAGCAGCCTTTCCAGTGCTAGTCCATCAAAAACCACCAAAAACTGACTCTACTTGAAAATCAAACATGATTTAAAGTGATAAATCTGCAAATGTGTAATATTTACAGGTGAACTGAATTTTTAATAACTTCCATGCAATCTGATCCTCTCATTTTCAGCTATGTGAAAACCAAATATTCCCTTACCCATTGCAAGCTATTTCCTAGGGAAGAACCATTCCAGATTATTTTCTTTGACTGGGCATTTTATGTACTTGGAAGTTTGGGGTTTTTGGATGTTCTTTTGTTTTCAGATTACATGCTCTTCCAGTTGTGAGCACAGCTAATGGCTCCCTTCAACAGGAAGTTCTAAGTGGACTTAGCAAATCAGTCATTCCTGTGATAATTAAAGGTTACATTTCCTGTTCCTAAAGATTGCAGTTTTTTGCGTGTAAGGCAGCTACTGGCTATATATCCTATGGATTCATGAAGTTGCTATAAAACAATGTCAGTTTTGCCATAAAACTTTCCTCCCAGAGGAAATGTTGCTGCTCAAACTGTTTCATAACACTGTACTGTGCTGAAGCTCTTGTTTTCGGTGGGTGTAAGATAGCAGCTTGTTTCTTTTTAGGGTTACAGCACTTCAGTTAGAAAACATCTCTTCTTTAACACTGCAGTCATGGTTTGTTTTTTTTTTTTTTTTTTGAAGTTAAGCACAATTTTTAATTTAGTTCCCAAAAAGCATTGTTATTCTAAGTGTGTTTAGTATGCCTGTATAGACAATAAAAATGGGTTTGTATGCTAATAACTTGTTTACCTAATGTGCACTGAACATCTTACATTAATACTGTACCATTTCACATTAATACTGCATGCTTTTCTATGTGAATTGAATAAAACATGTTATAAGCAC